CATTCATCTGTTCATTCATTCATTTGTATTTACAGCATGGCAGGTCTCCATAAAGACTTATAATCTGACAGTATAAATGGGGATCATGGTCATTGGACAGCAAGGTGGACACAGCAAAGGCAAGTCACAAAGAAAGGGTGAAGGTGTGAAGAATGTATTTCCTTGGACTCCAAAAGTTTGTGGTCTCACTTCTTAAGGTCTCAAAAATACCCCAATATTCTCTTCTGAGTTATGAATATGTCTTTTATTCTGTTATCTCAAACTCCTCCCAAAGGAAGGCAACTATCTAACTTCCCTAATATGCCTCTTTCCTTTCCCTGTAAACCACTCATTCTTTTTTTGTTGTTGTTGTTTTTGTTTTTTTGGTTTTTTTATTTTAGCTGAGCCATCCTGCCACCTGTTGGCAGCTCAGCGGCTACTCAGCTCAGGCTGGGAGTTGAACCGCTGTTGCTCAGAGCTCGCACTCTTGCGCAAGTTCTTAACCAACTGAGCCACTAGGCCGGCCCCGAAACCACTCATTCTTAAGAGCATTTTAGTTTCCTGCTGGGGGAATGCATGCGCCCTTGACTACTCACCACTTTATTTTCATGGGGCTGGAAGGTCCTCACCATTGGCGAAAGCCTTATATGATCCTATGACCCCTCCTTCAAAAGGACTCTCCCTGATACCCTTGTCTTAAGAGATAAACATACTAACGCAACTCAATCCCCCTTCCCTGGATATTAGCCAGAACAGCCAGAAAGGGTCAAAACAATCTTGTACTGACCTCAGGCCACTCACCTGTATTTGTAATCTCTGAAGCACATTTGATGGGCTTTGAGCTTAGAAATGAGAAGCTTGAGAATTTTCAAGAAGATGAAGAAATTGACCTTGAAAAAAAGCAGATACGAGTCAGTGATAAATTCCATATGGCAATGAATATCGCGGTCACCCTGGGCCTCACCATCAGATCCTTGTCCATGTAAACCAGGGGCAATTTGGCAGTCAGCCAGTCAAGTAGTAAGTGCTTGTGGTAATCCCCACTCTCTCTAAGGCCATTTCGACTGAGAGCCTGGAAAGGATCCTGAAATGTCATTTAGTTTATTCTTATGCCTCAGGGATGTCCATCACTACAGTCATCTGGGAAAGGCAGATGGACATTTACGTTATCATTATTAACTAACACATATTGGGTACTTACCATGCCAGGCATTGGGCTAACATTCCATACATTATTTTATTAAGTTCTTACAACAAACCCTCTCTGAGGAAGCCACACTATTTTTATGCCATGATACAATGAGAAAACAGAGGTACAGAGGAGACAACTACAANCAAAATCTGGGAAAGTTGGAGTTCAGCCTGTTCTTACCAGAGTTTGGACAAAGATGCAATAGACCCGTTGCCCCCTCCTCCTTACCCTAACAGAGGGTTCTAATGGAAAACAAACATCTAGAGGGGTGTGGAAGAGGAGACCCTCCCGATGTGGAAGAGCGCAGTGTGAGCTGGGGTACTGATGACCCATGGAGGTGACAAGAAGCAGCCCTCCCGGAACTTGGAAATAAGGGAGGTTGCACTCACTGCTTGGAGAGAAAAATGGGCAAATGCATGCATCACTGCTGTAGGACTCACCAGCCCAGGGAGTAAAATAAGGTGGCCTGGGTGTGTTCTGAAAGACAAGGCCCTGACGTTTTACTAATTAATAAGCCCAAGCTAATCAATGACATTGTACTCTGCATGGAGATAGAGTCAATAAACAGAAAGCAGATGGCCAACTAAAATGGCAGGAAATCTCACAAAGAAGAAGAAAGTTCTCAGTACTTATCCAGCACTATCTGTGGAGGCTCTGGGAAAGGAACTTCCCTCTCACCAGGCAGGTGGCACCACAGGACAGTGGTGGTTTCTCAGGTCACCGTCAAGGATCCTTCATCACCAGTCACTCTACTTGACAACATGATCACCAGCAACATTTTGGTGATCAATTTATGTTTCTGGATCTTCTGGTGTCAACTTTATGAGGACTGAAGTCACTAAAAGGAACTCCCACCCTACCCACACCTTCCACAGCCTCTAAGAATGAATACTTGTATAGTCTGGTTTATATAATAGTCTCTTGTGAGTTCAGTTGGC